AGTTAAGAAAGGTGACAAAAGAGTATGTAAATACTAAGACATCCTTTAAGCACCCATTTGTCTTTGACAGCACATAATTAAGAAACGGGCGGGCAGGGGCACACTGAGATAAGGATTGTCTGCTACGAATCTTGTCAAAGAAAGTAATCAAGGAGCATGGAGACAGTTGGATGAAAATGATGACATGTGTACCCAACTAGTTATCTTGTTTCAGTAGAATAGAGTTGAAAAGCCATAATATAGTGAAGAATATCAGGCATTATGGTCCATTAAGTGCCTTTGCCATTAAAATGTTAGATTCCTGATTAGCTATTTCTAACATGTCCATTACACGTTATAGGACTCAAGCCAATGTCTAATGAGGGTGGCATATTTTGTATAATTTGTCATGCTACTACAGAACCATTCAGTGGAATTTAATCTAGAATTATTATAGCCAAATGTAAGTAAAATAATAAGATTTGTCAGTGACTGGGAAATCATATAGAAACCATATTTCTTGCCTCCAGCTAAGCCAAAACTAGGACACAACACACTGCTTGAACTTCCTGTGCAACCCACTGATTGGAGTCACATATTTTGAAGAGCTAAAAAAGAGGACACATTTGCCGACTTCCACTTTTAACTTTGGATCTCTATGGCGACTGGATGTGTCCTGGAAAAAGAGGACATATGGCAACAGATAATGAATGTGTCATTCCTCAGTTCCCAATTTATCATGAGCGCAAATATTCAGTTACTGGGTCTGAGTGATGGTCTCATTCTATGTCCCTGCTCCAGTCAATACTGTGAACACAACTCTGTTGGTTGGGTGGGTGCTTGAGGCACCAAATAGTCAAATAAACCTGTGTGGATTATGCAGATCAACTGAACACAGTGTGAATGCAGATGCATAGCCATTGACCGAACTGCACATTTCTGCACCAAAGACCAGAGTAATCACTGATATGAATGCTAAGTTTTCACCAGAATGATATCAAGTGCAGCACAGGTAAGTTGTTGATGATACAAGTCACTGTTAAAACAAGGGCAAGTTGTAGTTTGAAATAAGTTTAAGTCAGCTATAGTTGTAGTTAGACATACTGACTTCCATTTTCAGCACCAGAAGAAACTAATACATTTTTAAAGGAAGTCAAAATAAGGCTCAGAAGAATTTGAGAGACTATTTTGAAATAAATTTGAATACTATGACAGAAAAAAGAGTGATTTGGGATGCCAGTAAAGCGGTGATGAGAGGATTTTTGATACAACAAAATGCAATTAGGAAAAGATATCAAAATGAGAAGAGAGAAAATTTTTTGGAGAAAATTAAGGATGGAGAAAAAAGACTGAGAGCGAAACCGAACTCACAGGAGATTTTAAAAGAGATAAAGCTATACCAAGTACAATATATGAAATTGATGAACCAGGAGATAGAATGGAAGATCAAACAGATGAAACAAAAGACTTTCGAATCGGCAAATAAATGTGGGAAGTTACTGGCCTGGCAAATGAAAAAAGACAAAAGCTGAATACGATTACGAACTTGGTTGTAGAAGGGAAGAATATACAGAATCCTGGAGAGATTCGGAAGTGCTTTCAGAATTATTTTAAACAGTTATATACGCAGGAGACTCAGAAAGATCTAGACATTGACCGATTTCTGGAAAATAATGGATTACAAAAAATATCTCAAGACAGTAAATCAATATTAAACTCTACAATATCTGACCAAGAAGTGGAAGGAGCCATTCAGAATATGAAATTGGGCAAATCTCCAGGGCCGGATGGACTAACTGCAAAGTACTACAAAACTTTGAAAGAATGGTTACTGCAACCGTTGAAAGAACTTTGTAATGAAATACTACGGGGAGGAAAAGCACCCGAGTCGTGGAAAGAAGCATACATTACACTTATACCAAAAACCGAAGGGGAGAAGACACAGTTGAAGAACTACCGTCCCATATCCCTACTAAATGTGGATTACAAAATTTTTGCCGAAATTATGGCTAAAAGATTAAAAATGTATTGGTAAAAGAGATTCATAAAGACCAGGCGGGCTTTCTCCTGGGAGACATTTGTCAGACAATACTAGGAACATCATTAATATTTTGGAAAAATTGCAAGTTAATATCAATACTAAAGCTGTTTTAATATTTGTAGATGCAGAGAAAGCGTTTGATAACATTTCTTGGAGCTTTATGAAGAAAAATTTGCAGGGGATGGGGGTAGGCCAAAGTTTCGAAAATGGTATAAGTGCAATTTATTCGGAACAAAAAGCTAAGCTTATTGTGAACAATGTAGTTACAGAAGAATTTAAGATAGAGAAAGGAACAAGACAGGGTTGCCCAATCTCCCCATTGCTTTTTATATCGGTCCTCGAGGTTCTGCTCAATATGATTAGAAAAGACCAATTGGTTAAAGGTATACAACTCGGAGCTAAACAGTACAAATTGAAAGCTTTTGCCGATGATTTAGTTTTGACATTACAGGAGCCAGAAGCTAGTACAAAAAGAGTGTTACAATCAATCCAAGAATTTGGTCAAGTAGCAGGTTTTAAATTAAACAAGATGAAAACCAAGGTATTAGAGAAAATCTTACAGAGATAGAGAAGGAGAGGTTTCAGAAAGAGACAGGATTAACAATTGTTAATAAAGTGAAATATCTAGGGGTGAATATGACTGCCAAAAATGTGAATCTGTTTAAAGATAATTATGAAAAATGTTGGTCAGAGGTGAAGAAGGATTTAGAAATATGGTCAAAATTGAAGTTATCATTGTTGGGCCGAATTGCAGCGATAAAGATGAATGTATTGCCTAGAATGTTGTTTTTGTTCCAAACATTACAAATTGTGGATAAAATGGACTGTTTCAAGAGGTGGCAAAGAGATATTTCCAAATTTATCTGGCAGGGCAAAAGCCTAGAATAAAATTTAAGATACTAACAGACGCAAAGGAAAGAGGGGATTTGCCCTGCCAGATCTTAAACTTTACTATGAATCAGCCGCTTTTTGTTGGCTGAAAGATTGGCTACTTCTTGAAAATGTGGACATTTTAGATTTAGAAGGTTTCGATAATGTGTTTGGGTGGCATGCATATTTATGGTATGACAAAGTCAAAGCGCATAAGGCCTTCAAGAATCATATTGTCAGGAAAGCATTATTCAATGTTTGGGTGAGATATAAGGATTTGTTGGAAAGTAAAACACCAAGGTGGCTGTCACCAATGGAGGCTAAGGCTTAAAAAAAAACAAATATGGAGACAAACTGGCCAAAATATTGTGAAATTTTAGAACAAGTTGGAGATAAATTAAAATTGCAGAGCTTTGACAAATTAAAAACTAAAGTTCGAGATTGGCTGCATTATTATCAAATAAGGGAGGTTTTTAACTTAGATAAAAGATTGGTTTCCAGGAGGAAAAATCTAAACTGGAAACGGAATTGTTAGAACCTAAAACTAAAAATCTGTCAAGAATGTATAATCTGCTGTTGAAATGGAATACACAGGATGAAATGGTTAAATCTGCTATGATTAAATGGGCGCAAGATGTTGGGCATAATATTATGTTTGCTGACTGGGAACGGTTATGGACCACAGGTATGAAATTTACGGCCTGTAACGCCTTAAGAGAAAATATAATGAAAATGATTTACAGGTGGTACTTAACCCCAGTCAAGCTAGCAAAAATTTATCATCTGCCTGATAATAAATGTTGGAAATGTAAAGAAAATGAAGGTACTTTTTTCACCTTTGGTGGACGTGCCCAAAGATCAAGGCCTTCTGGGAAATGATATATAATGAACTAAAAAGGTATAGAAATATACTTTCTTGAAGAAACCAGAGGCCTTCCTCTTGGGCATGGTCGGCCAATTGGTGCGAAGGGAAGACAGGAATTTCTTTATGTATGCGACAGCAGCGGCAAGAATACTTATTGGGAAATACTGGAAGACACAAGAATTGCCTACCCGAGAAGAATGGCAGAGAAAAGTGATAGACTATATGGAACTGGCTGAGATGACCGGCAGAATTCGAGATCAAGAAGAAGGGTCGATGGAAGAAGATTGGAAAAAATTTAAAATATATCTTCAGAAATACTGTAATATAAAAGAATGTTAGAAAAGGTTGGAGAAGAATATTAGACCGTATTGGCAGACAGAGTATAATGGAATAAGTAAATATGAAGTGTAAAATAAAGATAGAGGAGAATTAAATACTTTCGAATGTTAAAATAAGTAAATGAAAAGAAGGTTAGAAGGATTTGCTGGAGATACGATTCAAATTAGAATACAAAGCAGAGAAGTGAGAGGAAGTCACGGAAATAAGTAAATGGGAAAACGGTTCTAATGGTTTAATTTGATTTTTTGTTACTTTTGTATTGTGATTTTTTGTCTTTTGTCTTTTTCTTTGTATTGTTTGTTTTTTTTGTAGGATGTATGTGATTTGTTTTTCTTTTTTTTACTTTTTTCTTTTTCTGTAATCTTAAAATTGGAATAAATATTCTATAAAAAAAAAAAAAAACCAAAATAAAGTGGATAATTCTGAGAACACCGTGGAAAAGAGAATTATCAATAATATGGCAACTGCATCACGGGATATATTACAGAGTCCAACAAAAGTGTTAATATTTGAAAATCTATGTACCAGGGTAAGCCCTATTCTTCAAATCGGAGCCTATATACCCAGTTGTTTTGTTTCTAAGCTCTGAATGGTTTCTCAGAGGCAGGAAAATGTCTGTGGTCATTTGCATTAAAGAGATCTACCTACCTACAACAATTGCTGAGTTGTGGTTTCTGAAACAGGCTTGAAAATCTGTAACCACTCTTCCAACATATTGTTTGTATTACATTATAAACAGTTTGAATTTGGGGGCATCCCCCCAATATATGTAAGAAACCTGTCCATACTGTTTTATAGTTTCAACAATTGCTCAGTACTCTTGAAAAAATTTGAGTTGGTCTGTAAGGAGTTACAGTCATTAATGACTGTATTATTCCCTAGTCATTCCCTAGATCATTCCCTAGTCTTCTGTAGCAATCATTTATACCAGGTTATTTAAATTAACCTGGTATAAATGATTGCTACAGAAGACTAGGGAATGATCAACAGATGAATAAGATGGCTGGTGGTGATGTTTTGGAATAGGAAGTACCTGAACAGCATCCAACATTACACACACAAACCCTTGCTCTATTGTAAGATACACATGTATGCTGCATGTGTATAAAATGTATATTTTCAAGAACCACCTTACTTCTATAATTTTGTTTTAAACTGTTTTTAATTTTGTGTTTTTGTTGCCTGGCCTTAGGGTGAAAGGTGGGTAATTAATAATAATAATAATAATAATAATAATGTAAATTCATAATGGGCCTTTAAAAATCAGTATAGCTCTTTCAAAGTGGTTGTTTGGAAACAGGGAGCCTACAGCCTATTCCCAGTTATTACAATTTTTGAAATGCTTCAGAAAACAGTATAGAATGTAATTTTGCATTAAGGGTAGGTAGTGTCATGATAAAGATTTATGATACAAATGGTAGCTGTCTAGCTTTGAAACACACTAGAGCTCTTTGCATCTCTCACTTTTATTAAGAGACTCCAGCTTGCCCCTCTTGGCAGCTTGACAGATGTTTCTTCTCATATCTCTCACCTTTGCCACAAGGACAGAGCAAATTTGATATAATACTTACTTGTTAGCTTACTCTCAAACAATGTCACTCTCTTTAACATTCTGATAGCTAATATAACAGAAGATAAGGAAGAAAAAATATTGCTTTAGTATTAATGAAGAGCAACTTGTTAAAATGAAAAATACACTTGTGCCTGCTTAAAGCACTGGTCCCAACCTTTGACTCAGAAGACCCTCTCATAGAGAGTCTTATTTTTGTTCAGTGGTTATGTGTTGCTTTTTCTTACCCATGGCAACCAGTAACAAAAGACAACATTGTTGGCATAGTTACAAATGTATAGCTATCAGATCGGTAAACCTTCCTTCCTGACAAACCTTTCTTCGGAAGCCAACAATTTGGGAAACGCCATTAAAATAAGCAATATTATTATCATTTGCCATGTACCCTATATAAAACTTAGGTAGAAAGAAAGAAAGAAAGAAAGAAAGAAAGAAAGAAAGAAAGAAAGAAAGAAAATGTTCTGTCTGATGTACATACTCTCAATCGAATATCACTTTATTGGAAACGACTCATAAATGGAATCAAATAAAAAAATAACTAAAGAGATACTGTTTCTTTACACAAATGAAAACACAATGTAGTAATCATTTGTTTTTTAATGTTTAATGTTCTATTATGTTTTTATATATGTTGGAGGCCACCCAGAATGGCTGGGGAAACCCAGTCAGATGAGCAGGGTACACATACAACAACAACAACAACAACAACAACAACAACAACAACAACAACAACAACATTGCCATCCGTGGAATGTGGATAAAAACGAGTGCAGTTCATATGTCACAAAGATATGCCAAAGCTACCATTGGATATAATGCAATTGAGTTCCACCCATAGTATTTTGGTGTAAGAATTGAAATATTATTCCCTTTCAATTTGTTCCATTATCCCAACAACAAATTTTCAGCAGCTGGGAAACATGGAGATGCCTGAAGCGTGCCTGACCTTAAAACAGAGCTGTTGCTTTGATCAAAGACAATGCCTTTTGAGAATGACATAAGCCTACAATATGGAGCACTAAAATGGAATTACTTTTCTTTAAGAGCCTGAGTGGGAAGATTTCTGAATGTTACACAATGGGGTTTAATCACAGATGGCTCACACAGTGATCATCCTGCTGAAATCAGTTGAAGAAAGCCAGTTTAATTGTTCCCAAGCTCCCAATTCAGCTCATTTAGTAGAAAAAGGTAAGCCCAAGTTTATGCAGGGCAGGAGGCTTAAAGAGCATATATGATTAAATTATAAGGACATTTACCTATTTTGTAAAATCAAATTACAACCGAAAGCTAGTACAGGCAGTTTTAATAACAAAATGTATATGGCAGTATGGAAAAGAACCTAACAGCTGAGCCAAAATTAGAAGTGCTTCCCTTAATATAGTTGAGGCGACTACACTGGCCATGCTGGCAGGGTTAATTAGAACTGGAGTACAACAACATCTGGAGGTCCTCAAATTCCCCATACTGTAACCACTTTGACAGGCTCCCAATCCCTGGTGCAGCTAAATTTGCATAGTAAATTGATGCAAATTTAGCATTAATTAGTCACAGAGCTAGGTGACTCAGTTCTATAGTCACTGGAGAATGGACTAAGCAACTTGCTGCCATTTCCAACAGAACTGCTACCCTTATATATTTAGAAATATATATATAGAGAGAGAGTACATCCCCCATTGACCCATCTTACCCAGTACTGTCTACCCTGACTGGCAGCAGTTCTCCAAGGTCTTAGCCAGAGGTCTTTCCCAGTCCTGCTTAATGACATGCTTTTCATTGCAAGTTTTGAAGTCCTGGTCTTTCTCCATGCATAACATATGCTTTACCTATGTAGAGTTTCTCCTCTTTACGTGATTTTCAAGAACATGGCCGTAAGAAAAATTATGCAACTGCCTTGCTTAAGCTAAGCAGCTCTGAATCTGGTAACTGTCTGGTAGGAAGACTGCTTGGGTGACAATACTTCCTTGCATTAAACAGTAAGAAATACATGAATAATCTGATATGGCCACCAAATCCAGGGACGGCCAACACGGTGCCCTCCAGACAGTCACTTCACACATCGGTGAAATCACGCATAATTAAAACCCATTGAAAAGGCCTGCAAACCCACCACCCCACCCTGCCCTGCCCCCATTCTGTCCTTTTAGTGATGTTTCAGTAATGCCTTTATGGTGTTTCTGGGCCACTTCTGGGTTTGACACAATACACGTATAAACAGTCATGCACATATTGAATGTATGCAAATGGCCTGTTCAACAGTGAAGAAGAAGAGTATGGATTTGATATCCCGCTTGATCACTACCCGAAGGAGTCTCAATGCGGCTAACAATCTCCTTTCCCTTTCTCCCCCACAACAAACACTCTGTGAGGTGAGTGGGGCTGAGAGACTTCAAAGAAGTATGACTAGCCCAAGGACACCCAGCAGCTGCATGTGGAAGAGCAGGGACGCGAACCCAGTTCCCCAGATTACGAGTCTATCGCTCTTAACCACACCACTCTTAACCACACTACACCACACTGGCTCTCGTGAATTGCTGTACAGCAAAGTGTCCATTGAAGAGAATAAGAATTTTGCCATTTAAGAGCTAAAATGACTCAACTCACCTCATCACTCAAGTCTCAGTTAAAACAGGGGGTCTACACTAGTGTAAATGTATCATTGAACCTCAGGATTCATTAGAACAGCTCAAAGTGTCCTAACGTGATAAACACAAAAGAACAGCACGCCAAAGTTTTGCTAATCCTTAGGGAGGGGGATCAAATGACATCCTCTATATACTGTATATCCTTTGCATAGCTTGGTTTGAAGGGCTTTACCACTTAAATCATGCATCACACTCCCTTTGTGGCAGTGCATCATAATTTTCTGTAGCTAGGAGAACGCACATAAAGTTTTAAGCATTATTTAATGAAGATGACACATGAACCACATACGGAAAAGCAATATTAATAAAAAAATGTATAATGTATTCTGACATCATAATAAGGCTCTTCAATTCAAAATGTTTCTTTCAGAAAATAATATATAGCTGAGGTCATATCAATAAAGCCACACTATGATATATTACTAGGAAGCGGTTGTTTTCTGCTTCTTGGGATATGCTGTTCCACAGACAGCTCTGTAAAGTAATGTGTAGCTGATTTACACAGCCATCTTTATCACACAATAACGGCAACTGCCATATGATAAATTGAAAGCATATCACCAAACCGTAATCTTGACACAACTCTATTGTCACATGGAAGACAATCTTACTTGGCTAAGAGTGATCGCCAAAGAAGATTGTCACATGCTCTCAGTACCCATCAATGGAGACAAACTTCTCTTCTATGCCAACACGGCAGCATAAAAGTGTAACCCAGCTCTTTGAGTTCAGTGCTAGTCAGGGGGGTTTCATGTAAGAAGAGTTAAGCATCTCAAAAGTCCCAGGCAAATTAAAAGAAGAAATAAGCTGTGGTGTCTGATGAGCCTCTTAGATGTCGCAACTGAAAAGGCCACAAGCTATCTCGCTTCTGAAGGCAGGGAATGGGGGATGCTCGCAGAGGCAGGGTTCTTGCAGAAGATCATCCTTGTGGGTCAAGGTGGTCCTTCAGAAACAGCCCTCAGATATCCCCATACTCCCAGATGTACACTCTCTCCCCTGCAATTTTGTAAGGATGTAAAAGAATGGGTTCTCCCAGAAATATAATGAAAACTTTTCTATTCCACCAGGTCTTTCCAGGCAATTAAGAATACATCTTTCCACAATGGTTAATTGAGGTCCATTTTTACCTTTTTATAGGGTTTTATTGTCCAGTTTTATGCTTTATTGCTGTCAACCACTTTGATTTTTTTTCCTTACAAAGTGGTATATAAATATTTTTATAAATAAATAAATGCATCTAACACAAATTGAAGTAAAGTACACCACCTGATTTTATGAAGTAAAAGAGCTCATAAAAATGCTGATCTTCAAATTTGCTTGTATTTCCATATGCAAGATCTGCAATGATAATTATTCTAAATATTACTCAGTCACATTTCACGGGGACTAGGATCTGTTTGTGTTTCCAGCTGCTATCCCACAGGAAATGTAGCATTACAATTCTTATTCACGTCCTGAATATGTATGTAGAATTAGGCATCCCTCTGGAACTTAGATTATTTAAGTCATATTGCTTCACACATGAAAAAGTTTGACTGTGGACCTATAAAAGATTATCCAGAACCTTTTTGCCAACAACTTATTATTTGTACATTATGTTAATATATTTCACGGTATCTTAAGACTTAGCTGCTCGTGGAATAGCTCAAAGAATCCTAAACCAAACATTTCATTAATTTAACCGCAGGGTTTGATACATAAATGTAAGAACATAAGAAGAACCTGCCAAAGGACCATTTAGTCCAGCATTCTGTTCTCACT